GTTGCTGAAGCATGGATTATCAGGTGGCCGACACTAAATCAATTTGAAGTATCAGACCTGCCTTGGTATGCTGTAGAAGAAGGTATCCAAAGGCTTAGGGAAATTGGCATGCTAGAGTGGATTTATCAAGTTAGACCCACAGACCCACACATGGAGTGTCCAGAGGACACACCTTTTACCACAACTGTGAGGAACAAATTTGTGAAGGGAGCTCCAGCATCCTTGAAGACTGCTGTGATTGCTGTTTTATGTAAATCAGATTTCACAGTGGGATCTGCCCTAACTGAATTAAGACACCTAACTACAATGGGGCTGATTGGACCCCATGGTAGTAGGGGCCAAGTGGCTGCACTCAATCAACAAAGACAAGGTGGGCATAGTTACAGTAATGGACAGAGGAGTCAAAGCAGTAATCAGAATAGTCTGACTCGTATGGACTTATGGTGTTGGCTGCTTAGTCATGGTGTCCCTAGGAGTGAAATAGATAGGAAATCTACTAAATATTTACTTGATCTATACAAACAGATGAATTCTAGGTCAGGTGAACAGCAGTCTAACTCAAATCACCAGAACAGAGAGTCACGGTCCCTCAGTCAATTCCCAGATTTGAGCGAGTTTAAAGACCCACAACCCCTTGAATGAACGGGAGGCTGGATCCCCTTGAGGAAGGACTCCAGTACACTGCCAAAAATTTTTACTGTTAATCTTTCTCCCAGCCTTCCCCAAAGGGATCTATGGCCTTTTACAAGAGTGACTGTTCACTGGGGAAAAGGAAATAATCAGACTTTTCGGGGATTCCTGGATACTGGCTCAGAGCTGACACTAATTCCAGGAGACCCAAAACGTCACTGTGGCCCACCAGTCAGAGTGGGGGCATATGGAGGTCAGGTTATTAATGGAGTCTTGTCTCATGTCCGTCTCACAGTAGGTCCAGTGGGTCCCCGAACCCATCCTGTAGTGATTTCCCCAGTTCCAGAATGCATAATTGGAATAGATATACTCAGCAAC